ATGGCCTGGCGCAGTGGCTCACACCTGTAATCCCAGCACTTTGGGAGGCTGAGGCGGGCGGATCACGAGGTCAAGAGATCGAGACCATCCTGGCCAACATGGTGAAACTCCGTCTCTACTAAAAAATACAAAAATTAGCTGGGCGTGGTGGCGCTTGCCTGTTAGTTCCAGCTACTCGGGAGGCTGAGACAGGAGAATTGCTTGAATCCAGGAGGCGGAGGTTGCAGTGAGCCTAGATTGCGCCACTGCACTCCAGCCTGGAGCCTGGCAGCAGAGCAAGACTCTGTCTCCAAAATAAAAATAAAAAAATTGTGTCTTGAGTAGAATTTTAAAGTGAAGCGTAACGTGGAGAATGAGCTGTTCAGTAAATCAATTCTTCCCTTTGCAAAGCTGGAAAACATTTAAAAAGTAGCCAGGGTAACATGAGCACTGAAGAGGAGGACACAAGGCCGCAGCCAGGCCTTTGGAGGAGTAGCCAGAGGGGCAGGAGCCCGCATCAGCGTCCTCCCACGCAGCCTTTGCTGAGGGAGTGCCGCACGCGGCGAGTCGCGCTCCCCCCAGGCCTTTTTTCCTGCCGCTAGGACTCGCTCTGAGTTCTCCACGCAAAGCTGGCAGCCGCAGAGGAACAGCACGTCCCACTACTACATCTCAGGCCCCGCCCCTCCCTTGGTAGCAGGAAGAAGGAACGCCTTCCTGGCTCGCGCCGGTGCGAGCGCTGAAGCTCCGCCCCCAGCTTCTACCTCCGGCTCTCGCCCTTCTGCGCAGACCTCTGCCCCGGACCCATTTCCAAGGCGCGGCGCTTGCGTCACGCAACCCGGGCCACGAGCACGGGCGCATACACACGTCAGCGCGCGCCCGCCCGACGCGAGGCGGCCCCGCCCTCCAGCCCCGCCCCGCTCGCCGCTCTGCCCTCCTCTTGCAGCCCTACCTTCTTGCTACCCTCCCGGCGCAAAGAACCCGGCTTCCCCGAGCGCTCCGCGGTCATGGAGATCCCCGGGAGCCTGTGCAAGAAAGTCAAGCTGAGCAATAACGCGCAGAACTGGGTAAGTGGGGGCGGAGGGCGAGACGGCGAGGATCCGAGGGACTGTGGGAGCAGCTCGTTTCGGAGCCGCTGCCTCTCTCCCGCTTCCTCCGCATCCTTCCAGGAGCGCGGAGCTGGGTTCCCGGGCCGTGGCGCCTCCCGGCTGGGCCGTGGGCGACTGCCAGGCGGAGGGGCGCAGCGCAGGGTTGGGGTCTCGCCCTAGCTGGCCGCAGCGTGCGGTCCGAACCACCGTCCGTGGGAAAAACGCCCCTACTCCCCAGCGCCTCCGCTCAGGTAAGAGCCCCAGGAAAATCCTTCACACGTGAGCTGGCGGTTGCTTGAAACCTGAGGCTGCTGAAACCTGCAGCTGTAGAAACAGGAGCTGCCTGCGTCCCTTGGAGTGGCTTGAAGGTCTGCAGAGCAGGCGGAGGCGGGCGCCTTCGACGCGTTCCTGGTTTTTCTTGGCTCTGCCAGTGCAGTTGGCCCAGGTTTGAGTCCATCTCCATGTCTTTCCATTTCTGAGTTTCAGTGTGAACGGAGAGCACCCAACAATGTGGTCATTCATGAGTTGAGACTGCCCTGAACTGAGGTTCTTTGTGTCTCTGTGTTAAATCGGAATGTTTAACAACTTAAGAGTTTTAAAGACTCCATTCCTAGTAAGTCAGGTGTGGGAAGACCAGTCGTTTATAATGTTTAGTAATTGCTAGTTGACTTTATAAAGTGCTGTGTCTTCACAACGTTGCTTCCTTCCTTAATTACTCTGTGATGAGAAACAGCCTTATCTTCCTTTAAGTGTTGAGCAGAGGAGGGCCCATCTTTGGAGTCTGGAAAGGCACTGGTTTTAGGGTTAGATGGAAATATTTCACAGTCCAGTGGAATAGTGAGGTTTAAATGCAATGTCTCCCAAAGCATTACTTGCCCTTGATGAGTCAAAGAAAAAAACAAAACAAGCAATCTCAGGCAAATGTTCTTTGGAAGTCATTAATTTATCATATCGGTTATTATCATTATTATCAAGAATTGTCTGTCTCTCATCCCAGCTTTGCCATTTACTAACCGTGTAGTCTTGGGGAAAGTCACTTTACTTATTCAAACTTCAGTTGACTTACAGGTGTAATAGTATGTACTTCACGGGATTGTTCAGATGAGCAAAGAAGACAGATAATGAATTTGAAAGTGCAGTGAAACCACTGCCTTGAAACTCAGACTTAGTATTCCTCCTGTTACCTTCAGGTCTTTCATGGTTAGGGAAATAAGGTTGGCTAACTTGGGGTATTTACAGATAATTTCTGTTACATCGTACATTTATTTACTCATTTATTTCCATTTGCCACATAGTGGGTATTCTATGTAGGGACTTATGCTAGACATGGTGAAAAATGCGGGAATTACTGCTTGCCTTCTAGTAGTTCATGGTCTCTGTTGGGGTTGTAAATGGCATTTGCCAGGTGGTGAATGTGTCTTTCTGGTCCACGGTGAGTGGCATGAAACAGAAGTTTTATTGCAGTGTAGAGGAGAGATTAGTTTCGCCTGGGTGTTTTGGGAGGGTTTATGGAGGAGCTCAGATTTCTGAGTCAGAGGGGTACTCTGTGGATAAGTGTTGAGAATAAGAATTACTGTATTTTACTCCAGGAACATTGACGAGACTTGCTCAGGAGGGTTTTTGTTGGGAAGTGGAGGTAAGGTTGAAAAGGGAGGCTGGGGCTGTGTGATGCTCTTGTATTTGGCTGCAGAGTAGTCTTGATTCTATGGGAGATTTTTGATGGGGCTAGAATTTTAAATTTTCTGATCTTTGTAATTTTTTTCTCTCCCTCATGGAGCAACCATCGTCTCTCCCTCTCTCCTACTTAAATCAGCTGATAAGGACAAGTGTGAAGAACCCATACCTTTAAAATTCCTATCATAGGTTGAAACTGGTAATGCAGGGAG